CCCTCTATGAGGTGGATTGATTCAGTGACTGGGGTAATTGGGATGGGAGTGTCAGAGGCAGTGTGATTGGCCACAGGATAGAGCAGAGTTTAGGGCTGTTGTACACAGGGTTGCTATGAGTTGCAAACGACTCGACGGCACATAACAACAACAACATGTTAAATTAATGCTTCTTTACTTGATTGCAAAATCCTTTGTTTTTCTTGGAATTTTGTCAATTTACTAATGCTGCTTAATAAACATTGTTATTTTTTTTTAAAAAGCTTAGCTAAATTTTTTTTAAGAATTGTCTTGAAAATTCTAGTTTTGAATAATTTTTTCAGAGCTTTATGCCAATTAATTCTTAAAGTATTATCTTATTTTTTTTAATTTATATCAATCCAGGTTCTGGACAGGATATTAAAGATACAGTCATAACTGTGTTTAATGCACAGATTGATCTTTACACCATTTGGGAGAAAATGGAATAAAAGTAAAAGCACATAATTTCTTTTTTAATATAAATTACTTGTCTCCTTTTTTATTAATAAGAAGGCATAAGGAATATAATAAGTGCTTATGTATCACCTTTCTGCCTTAAGAAAAAAAAGAACACAGTTGATACTTCTTTGTATATTTTTTTATTGCATCTTTCTACTCTATTATGTGAAAACTAACCATTTCAGGAAATAGTTTATGATCAAGAACCAGTGATGATGAAAGAATAAATCCAGAGAGTCCTAATGATATTAGGGGGGAAAAATAAGGCCCCAGGAATTGATGGAATATCAGTCAACATGTTTCAGTAAACAAATGCAGCCCTGGCTGACTCATTTGTATAGCTAATATGGCTTATTTGTATGAAAAAAAAACATGTTTATGAAGGTCCACATAAAAGAAAAGGTACCATCCAACTTAATTAGCAAGGATTTACTGCCTGTCGCTTTTAACTTCCTGGGTTCCAATACTAGTAGAAAGGATACAAGGACTCTTAACTCAGGAGATGGTTTGGTCTTGGTTCTTCCATGTGACTTGAGACAAATTCACAAATGTTTGGATTTCCATCTAGTTGGATAAGGAATAGACAATATCTCATAAGATCTTTACTTTTATAAGTTGATTCCAGTTTAAAATCATGGGTCTGAAGGTATTTTTTATGAAACATTCTTAAGGCTATTATTTACTGAACTTAAAATTTTAATTTTCAGGGAAGATCTATAAGAAATTTGCATAAGACAGCTGTGCAAAATGGAGCCGGAGGAGCCTTATTTGTGGTAAGTAAGACTTAGATTGTTTTACAATGAAAAGTCTTGGAAATTTGGGCAAATCCATTACAATAATTGTTCTCAAACATCAGTATCTTTTGTATATGCTAACTAACCACTGTGAGAATTTGAATATAGTTAATTGAACTTGAAGACTTTTCCAAAGATGTGTAGTTCAAGGTGAACCTCTAAATTTAAATTTACACCAAGGCAACTCTTTAGTAAAATTATTGTGAGCCCTAACCTGATTTCTAATCATACATTGTTTTTAAAAGTAAATTCTGATAATTAAAGGTTCAGAATCTGCAGTACAGAAAACACAAAATGGCACTAATTTGAAATTCATAAGCTTTTAGGAATGTAGTGAAAACAATAGCAGTTGGCTTTTATAATTTTCTTTTACATGGTTTAACTATAGATAGAGGTCTGTGGGCTTCCCCATCTTAATTGAAAAAGTCTCAAAAATATAATATTGTAAATGATACTTCCTCCCCTAGCCCCCTTAATTGTATCCATGGAGGATAAGATAATCTAATTTTCGTTCTCTGACAAGTTGTAGTTTTCAAGGATTAAGCTAGTGTTGTTTTAGGACAATTGAGTTGAGCTATAATATAATACAGAATCCGTGCTATCATTGTGTTAACTCACTTCCAGAGTGAATCTTAAGAACTTAATTAGGGTTTATACTATTGAAGAATAGCTGTCTACTTTCTGTTTTATCCTTTTTGTTAAAAATAAATTGGTCACATTTTTAAATCATTGTCCAGTGGTTTGAAATCGTTGTCCAAATGTCCATTTACTTTCTTCTTTTGGTTTGTGTACTTGAAAGTTAACATATTGAAGATTCAGTTCTTTAATTAGCACACATACAAAACATTAATATATGTGTTAATCTCAGTGTGACTCATTTGATTTTCTGTTGACGTGCAATTTTTTGGTCTTATTTTAAAGAAAATTTGCTCTGCTCTTTGAAGGAGAAGAAATCAATCTTCTTGCTGCTGGCTAATTTCTAACTGTGGAAAACATGTAGGGAACTGATGATGCTCTGTGCTTTCCATAAAGCAATGGATTTTAACCTCTCTGGTCCCCTATTCCTCTGACAACTTGATACATTCTCTTTTTTGAAAAATGTATAGACTCACACTCAAGATTATGTTTCTTCATTTCATGTGCACTGCCAGTAAGTCCTTTCCAACTGATAGTCCCCTTTAGGCCAGAGTAAAACTGTCCCATAGAATTTCTGAGGCTTTAAGTCTTTAAGGAGGCGCAGACTGCCTTCTCCTTTCCGGTGTAGCTGCTAGAGGGTTTGAAGTACTGCCCTATTGGTTAACTTAACACTTAACGTACTATACCATCAAACTTAAACCTCATTGCTGTCAGGATGATTCCACTCCTTGCGACTCTCATTTGGGTTTCCTAGGCTGTAAATCTTAACTGGAGAGACTGCCCATTTATTTCTTTCACAGCCGGACTACCAGAGATTCAAGGCCTTTAGTTAGCCATGCATCTACCATGAACTACCTATCAGGACTTCATTTCCTAATACTTCTAGTAAGTCATTGTGTTTGAATGTTGTTGCTATGTACCATCGAGTCTGAACTGGCTCATAGCTGACCCTTTAGTAGGTTTTCAGAGACAGTAAATTGAGAGATTGCCCATCTTTCTCCCACGAAGCAGCTAGTAGTTTCAATCTGCGTGCCTTTGGGTTGGCAGCTCAACTCCTTGCCCTTGCTTTGTCGGTCCTAGAGTTATTTCTCTTAAAGGGTACTCTCTTAAGTTGTTGTTACTAGATGCCATTAAGTCAGTGACATTTTATAGAAATCCTGTGAACAGACCTGAACCTTGCCCTATCCTGCACCAACCCTGCTAAAGCCTATGCTGTAGACACTGAGTCAATCCATCTTGTTCAAGGTTTTCTCTTTTGCTAACCTGTCCTGGTACAATGTCTCTATGGACTTAACCTCCTCCTGAAAATATGCCCAAAGTCAAGTCAGACAAATTTCACCATCCTTGCCTCTAAAGGAACACTCTGGTTGCATTTCCTTTAGACAGATTTGTTCTTTTGGCAGACCCTGGTATAGTCAACACTTTGCCAACACCACAGTTCAAAGGCATCAATTCTTCTGTCATCTTTGTTCATTGTCCAACTTTCAGATGCTTAGGAAGCGATTAAAAAATACCAAGGCTTGGATCAGGTGCTCTTTAGCCTTTAAATTGACATGCTTGCTTTTTATAACTCTGGAGAGGTGCTTTCTTCACCTTTTTTTAACTTCTGAAATCTTCTAAAATTTTTTGTGGTCTTATTCCACTTCCATCATAGTAATCAAACAAACATGTATTTAGCTATGAGTTTACCTACTCTTTTTGATGAAAGAATAGATATGTTTGTTTTTTTCCTTCCCTTTTTGTCATGGTTTTGTAAATTTTTTTCTACTTTTTCTTTATTTTGCATTGGTTTGCTTAAAAAGTTTGTACACATTTTGTTTCACACTATTCATTCACATTGTGTTTCATACAATCACTCCCATTTATTATGTTTTATAAATTTAAAATTTTTTTTATTGTGATTTTAATGAAAGTTTACAGTAACGTTGGATTTTCATTCATTCCTTGTTGCACATTTTCATTCCTACCATCTCCCTAGTTCAGTTTAAGAAAAAAAACTATTTCATTCATTGTTGCATAATTTCCTCCTTTCCCCACACTTCTCCCAGTAGAATAGATGGATATGTTTCATGTGGAAATTAAAGTGGAAAGCTTAACAATCAGTAGTAGTGTAGCAATGTAGTGAAGTTATTCACATTTGAGAATTCTAAAAGATGGTGTTTTTTATTCCTTTTGTCTAGCACAGAGATACTCCTGAGAATAACCCAGATACTCCATTTGATTTTACACCAGAAAACTATAAGGTATGAATAAGTTAATAGTATTATAATTTGTAAATACTCCATATACTTCACATGTATAAAACAAATGTTGTGTTGGGTTTGGTTTTTTTGCAGAGGATAGAGGCAATTGTAAAAAACTACCCAGAAGGACATAAAGCAGCAGCTGTGCTTCCCGTCTTGGACTTAGCACAAAGACAGAATGGATGGTTGCCTATCTCCGCTATGAACAAGGTAGCAGATTAATTTTGCTGATTCATTAGTTTGGTGATAATGTCAGAATTTAAGTGTTTCTTGTCCTTTAATCATTTATGTATTTCCTCATTTAAGAATTAAATTTATGTTTTTGTTGGTTGCTTTAGTAATGTAGAGAACTGAAATGCGAGCATTTTATTCTTATTGAAAATAGTAAAGGTTACATGCTGAAAGGCTTTTTTTGTTTTTTTCTTTTTCCTTTTTTAAGGCCAATGGTTCTGATATGAATAGAAGTTCAAAATTATATGTAATTTAGTGTTAGTGTTTTCTAAAATTTGGTGCAATGTTTATGCATGTTAATTTCAACTTAGTAAGGTTAATGCTGATTAAAAAACAAAACCCAACATTGCTGTTGAATTGACTGCATCTCATAGTGACTAATAAAAATTATGTAAAAAGAGGTTTAAGGGGCACAGATTATGATGGAGTGAGGACTAGGGAGTTGGGGTGATACAAATCATTGTTAAGGAAAGCTTTGTACAAAATGAGAGTGTACAGTTAAGCAGAGAACTGAAGAAAATACTTGGAGAAAAACATTAGTTAAATGAATTCAAAGAGAAAAGAGTTTTAAGTACTGAGTATATAAAGAGAGAAAAATAGAAAATGTCAGTTTCTGACTATTTGAAATGTCATGAATTCTTTATAGAGTTTGTGAATCTGTTTAACATTATGTCTTTGCCTATGGACTTTAATAAAAAGCTATAATTATGTGGTATTTCAGCCACTTGATTGTGACAGTTTGGAATCATTAGCTTGTAAGCAGTTATTGATGACTCATTTGACATGAAATGGGTCTGCTTTTATGTATTTTCCAATTTTTTTCCCCTGTTTTCACCAAGAGTCCACGTTACAAGTTTATTGTTGTTGTTGTGTGCTGTAGAGTTGAAGCTGACCCGTAACTGACCCTCTGGTAAGTTTTGAGAGGCAGTTAATCCCATGAGGAGATTGCCCATCTTTCTCCTGCGGAGCAGCTGTTGGCCTCGAACCACATGCCTTCAGGATTGCAACTCAAGTGTGTCAGAGATGATGAGGAGGACACAAGGCATCAAAGGATTCAAGTCCATTGTTTATAAAGGTCATTCTGAGTTAACTCAATAGCACCTGACAGTGATAATACATAGTGAAACCTGTGTGAGCCAGGACCAATGAGTTGTCTTTTTTTAGAAGGTCTTTCAGCTTTTCCAGCTTTGACTGTTACACTATTGTTTTTAAAAATCCTTTAGAAATTTAGTAATTGAACCTTTAGAAACCTGAGTAATTTAGAAAACTTTTAACCAGTTTTGTTTTTTGGTTTTTTTTGTTTGTTTGTTTTTGGTTTGTTTTTTTTTAATTTTTGTGTGCATGTACCATCAAATCAGATCTGACTGGTACAGGAGAAGATTGTCCCTCCTTCCCCGGCAGATCATCTGGTGGATTCAAACCGTGCGCCTCTGGGATTGTAGTTGCAGCTCCTTGCCACTAGGCCACCAGAGCTCCCCTTAACCAGTTTTCTTTTAATAGTCTTTCTATATTGAGTTTTATTTGAAAATACTTTCATTTCCTTCTCTGACGGGTTTCCACATTATGCATGTTCTGGCTTTCACAGACTATACTGTAGTAAATGTATTTATATAGTATTACATTACAGTTTATATACTTAAAGAGTGCAACACAAAATCACATATTATTTAATTCTTATGGAACCACACAATTAATAAACATGATATAATGGAAAATACATTCAGCTTATAGCTTAGAGACCTGAATTTTAGTCCTGGCCATGCTGAAATCTTTTTCTTCCCCCTGCCCCCTACTTTTTTACCCCCATATTCCTACCTCTTGAATTTACAGCCAAGCAATAAAGATGAAAATACTAGAGAGGTCTTGTTGTTGTTATGTGCCGTCGAGTTGGTTGCGACTCATAGCGACCCTATGTGCAGCAGCCCTAAACTCTGCTCTGTCCTGTGCCAATTGCACTGTCTCTGATACACCCATCCCTATTACCCTAGTCACTGAATCAATCACCTCATAGAGGAGCCTTCCCCTCCTGCGCTGTCCCTCCACCCTCCCAAGCATGATGTCCCTCTCCCAAGGACAAGTCCCTCCTTACAGCATGTCCAAGGTATGTTAGACGGAGCTTCAGAATCCTTGCCTCCAAGGAGCATCTCCAGCATGAATGTGTTTGTTTTCCTAATAGCCCGTGGTACCCTCAATACTCTTCTCCAGCACCACAACTCAAAGGAATCAGTTCTCCTTTTATCCGCCTTAGTCATTGTCCAACTCTCTGATACATAATATTTGATTGCAAAGACCATGGCCTGTATCAGGTGCACATTAGTCTCCAGAGAGACCATTGCTCTTAAGTACTTTGGAGAGGTCCCTAACAGCAGACTTTCCCATCGCAATATGTCTTTTAATTTCCTGGCTGCTGGTGCCAAGAGTGTTGACTGTTGGAGCCAAGCAGACAAAACCTGTGAACAATCGCAATCTCTTCACCATCCATCCTGATGCTGCCAATTGGTCCAGTGGTGAGAATCTTTGTCTTCTTGACATTGAGCCTCA